TTCTGACTCTTCATCCCAACCTCTGCAGGGGGGAGAGGGGCTCTCTATTTTCACAGCTGGGAAGGTGAAGGAAACTCCCCGTAGTCCACTGACAGCCTTTGTCAGGGAAGTCCTCAGAGTCTCCTCACTGGAGGGAGCTTGGGAGAACAGTCAGCAATCCCACCCCCAGGTCCTCCCAAGTATACTCACCATGAGCCACTTGCAGCCAGCAAACCCTGTGGCTCACAGACTTAAAAATGCTTCAGGCGACAGACATTCCTGTCATGCTGTCTTTGATTTTCTGAGGCTGTTCTCTCCACAAGGGGCTTTCAACGCCCCCTCCCCCATCCCCCATTGCTCAGATGGCTTCACTGAGGTGGCTTTGCTATGACAAATGGTAGATTGGGGAGAGGGGACACAGGACACGCTCTTCTGAGTGCCTGGGCAGCTGGGTTCTCTTCTCTTTCCCCTCCCTGTCCCTGCTCCCACAGGCCTCTGCTGACCTGAAGCCTCAGGGGCCTCTTGCCCCTTCCTTTGGCCTCAAGACAGACGACCACCCGGAGGCGCTGGGCTGCGAGGCAGAGTGAGAGCCCTGGGCTGAGAAGGTCACAGTCCTGCACCTGCAGGACATGCACCGGGTTATCGGCCAGGAAAAGAGGGAGAAGAAAACCTTGATATCCCTGAACTCCCCCACCAGGGCGAGGACTGAAAGACACAGAGAGTGATCTGTGTCCTGAGAGGACGCTAGGTAGTGTCTCCAGGGCATAAGTCTCAGGTCTCATGGAAAGTGCACCCTCTCTCAGCTCTGTTCCCAGTTCCCTGATCCCTGTCCAACCACGGGTTTGCAACTGCAATGGTTGGAGTCGCTGGGCTCACCTGGGGCTCCTGGGGCTCACAGGGCAAGGAAAGGCTGGGCTGTGAAAGGACTGGAGGGGGTTGGGGGGTGTTTTACATCCAGCCCTGCTTCCCCTTTACATGCAAATGGAGTCCCTTCCTCAGTGCCCACACCCATCCAGCTGCCTGGAGACTATCTAGACCTGTTCAGCCCACAACCACAGCAGTGAGGGCAGACGGACATATCTCAGGGTGAGAGGATGAGAAAAGATAAACCAAAGAACTTGTATACTTACATGCATAGCCCATGGCACAGACAATAGTGTGGTGAAGCTAGGAGGGATAGGAGCTGGGCAGAGGGGGGAAAAAAGGAGAGGGGGAGATGGGAGACATCTGTAAATACTGTCAACAATACAATCTTTACTAATAAAAGGGTAATATGCTAATTAGACTGGGAGACCTTCTGGGATACCTTCTGGACAAAGCCATGGTGGCGGGGCCCAGGCAGAAGTGGTTAGGAGGGAGGGCAGTTGGGGGTGATCAGGCTGGCAGTGGGGGGGGGCAGTTGGTGGTGAGCAGACTGGCATGGGGGGGGGCATTTGGGGATGATCAGGCTGTGGGGGGGAGTGGGGGGAGAGGGGTTGGGGATGAGAAGGCCGGCAGGCAGAATGGTTAAGGGCGATCAGGCAGGCAGGCAGTTAGTGGTTAGGAACCAGCGGTCCCAGATTGCAAGAGGGATGTCAGGCTGCCAGTTTAGGCCCGATCCCCCGAGGGTTCCCAGACTGGAGACGGTACAGGCCGGGCTGAGGGACACCCCTCCCCGCTACCCCCCATGCACAAATTTCATGCACTGGGCCACTATATATATATATATATATATATATATATATATATATATATATTTTTTTTTTTTTTTTTTTTAAACGAGGGTAGCAAAACTAAGGCAGCTCCTTTTAGAACTTTAAAATGGGAACATGAGTCAGAGTCTGAGTGACCGCAGAGGCTCATGCGGTGCCACCGAGGCTTCCTCTGGCCCTCGAGGCTCCGGTGGCCCCGGGAGCTCCCAGTCCAGACCTGCGCCTCGGAGCGGAGCTCGGAGCTCGGTGCAGACACTGCTGCGGTGGCCACACCAGCAAGGCTTCCAGGCGGAGTCCCACCCAGCGGGAGGCTCCAAGAGGGGCTTCTGAGAGGTTCCCTGGGGAGACTCGGGTCCTTCACCTTCCTCCCGGGCCTCCTCTGGGTCTGGCTGGCCCCCTTCTCTGCAGGAGCATTTCCTCCTCACAGTCTTTTATCAGATGCACACGACAGGATGAAGAGGTTACGCAGAGAACTTGGAGTCCAGAGATCAGGGTTTTACTCCTGGCAAAACACAGTGCATAGACAGAGAGATATTCTTCTCTGATTTCTCTTTTACTTCCGTAAGTACTGTTATTACCAGCACCATCATTGGCGTATGGAGCCCTTCCGGTGCTGCAGGCTCTGGACTGACCACCACCTCATCTCCGCTCGCTGAATCCTCACAGCGGCCTTATGCAGGGCAGGCATCGATGCTGTTCTTCTCTCTGCAGACGAGGAAACGGACTCCTAAGGAAGTTGAGTAACTTTCTCAAGGTCACCACACCAGGATGAATCTGGACCCAAGTGTTTCTTTTCTTTTCTTTTCTTTTCTTTTCTTTTCTTTTCTTTTCTTTTCTTTTCTTTTCTTTTCTTTTCTTTTCTTTTCTTTTTTCTTTTCTTTTCTTTTCTTTTCTTTTCTTTTCTTTTCTTTTCTTTCTTTTCTTTTCTTTCTTTTCTTTTTTAAAAAAAAGTAATTTATTGATTTTTTTTTACAGAGGAAAGGAGAGGGGCTGGGACCGGTTTGGCTCAGTGGATAGAGCGTCGGCCTGTGGACTGAAAGGTCCCGGGTTCGATTCCAGTCAGGGGCATGTACCTTGGTTGTGGGCACATTTGGGGGGTGTGCAGGAGGCAGCTGGTTGATGTTTCTCTCTCATCGATGTTTCTAACTCTGTCCCTCTCAATTCCTCTCTGTGTAAAATCAATAATATATATATTTTTTAAAAAAACAGAGGAGAGGAGAGGGATAGAGAGTTAGAAACATCAATCAGCTGCCTCCTGCACATCCTCTACTAGGGATGTGCCTGCAACCAAGGTACATGCCCTTGACCAGAATTGAACCTGAGACCCTTCAGTTCACAGGCTGACGTTCTATCCACTGAGCCAAACTGGTTAGGGCTGGACCCAGTGTTTCTTTGTCTATAGTCTGTTAATCACTTCACATGTCTCTGGAGAGCATCACTCATCAGAATGGGCTCGACTGTGTTCCTCTTTGGACTGATTGCTTAGAAACAAATAGAACAATTCTTTAACTATCTCCCCCCTCCCCCAACAGTCTAACTTTCCTCACTATCGAAGACAGGTCCTTCCTGTATGGTTCCAACCACCCCCACTGCGGGAACACAGGCTGAGCATTGGTGAGAGCCCGAACCCCAGCATGCCCCTCTCAGTGCTCGAGCCCCACTGGCTGCTCTTGGCTCTCCCTCACGGCTCCTTTGGCTTAGCTCCCAGTGGGCTTGGTAACCCCACAAGTTCAACCTCAGCACCCCCTTGGACACGAGTTAGATCCTATTGATCCTTTAGCTAAAGAGACTGTGATTGTTGAAAAGGGTGGAGTTGTATCTTGATGTGACCCTGGAACTGGTTGAATTTGGAAAGCCAGGGGAGCTGGTGAGGCATGTATTGTCTAAGGGGCTGGAGGTGGGCCAGTGGCATGGTGAGTGGGTCGTGGTGTGGCGTTGGGAACTAGCAAAAGCCAGGGAGGAGAAGCTGGTCTGAGAGGAAGCATCCTGGGAGAAGGGGACAGGAGCCCGGATGGTGTGGAAGCTCAGGCTCAGCTGGGCTGGAGGGGGAGAGCACGGGCTTCAGAGGCTCCCTTGGTGCGGCTGTTTTCCGTCCATACACGGCCACGGAGTGTGTCCACGGGAGCCGCGGTGAGCCCCGGAGCAGGTGCATGAGGGCCTCCACCTCCGCTCCTCAGAGTGTGGCTTCGCTGGAGAGCAAGCTTTGACTAATGTGTCCCCTATCTCCAGAGCCTGTAGTCAGTCTGGTCCTTTGTAGGCACTTGGGGACTTTCAAATAAATGAAGGAAAGGAGAGAGGGAGAAAGGGAGGGAGGGAAGAAAGGAGGGAGGGAGAGAGGGAGGGAAGGATAAATGAAGGGAGGGATAGAGAAAGGGAGGGAGAAAAGGAGGGAGGGAGAAAGGGAAAGAGGGAGGGAGAGGAGAGGGGAGAGAGGGAGAGAGGGAGGGAGGGATAAATGAAGGGTGGGTTAGAGAAAGGGAGAGAGAAAGGAGGGAGGGAGAGAGAGAGAAGAGAGGGAAAGAGGGAGGGAGGAAGGGATTGAGGGAGGAAGGGAGGGAGGGAGGGAGGGAGGGAGGGAGGATGACCCAGCAGTAGGATTTGATGATGAAGTGGAGCTTCAAGTGAAGGTCAAGTGATCTCTCTCCAGGGTCAGGCATTCCCAAGTTCCCCGGGGCTGCCATGCAGAAGAACACTCTCTTTTCTGTTTCCTCCGATCACACTGGCTCAGAGAGATTAAGCCAGAATGCAACCATGTCTCAGTCCAGATAAACAAGAAAGGAAATACAAGAATCAAGGAAAGTGTGGCTATGTTTTTCCAGGGCTTTGTCCCACCCCAGTCTTGTCTCCGGGGTCAGTGCCTCCTGCTCACCAGTTCAGTCCCAGCGCAGTGCCTAGCCTGAGAGCACACACACTTATGTTCCTCTCCTTCTTCAGGAGGATGAAGCCAGGGAGCCCCGTGGGTAACAGTAAAGCCTGGGCAGGGCACAGACTCCCTGAGCTTGTTAAATAAAGGCTGATTAAAAAACAAAAGATGCCATCAGAATTTCAACGAGCAGATTGTCTAATAGCATCCAAAGACCAGTGCAGCGCACACACCTCTGCCCGTATCGCTGTGTATTTTTGTACTGTGCTTCCTCCGTGGTCTTTCTTGTGGCTGGCTGTGCAGTTTGGGTGCTTGTTGAGAACGGCATCTGCCTTTGGTTTTGCTGATCTCGGTGTTTCCGAGACCCTCTCTCCTCATAGGCTCAGTTTCGCCTTGCCAGCTGCTCTGGGCCAGTTTCTGTGGCAGAGGCGGCCACACCTGCTTCCTGAGGGCCCCTGGGCAGAAGCATGCGGTGGTGTCTCCTCCTGATCTGGGCCCAGGGGCTGAGACAGGCTCCCCTCCTGGCCTCAGGTAGGGACTGAAACTCCAACCCAGACCCCGAGGCAGGGGGAGCGCGGGGAGGCGGGAAGGGGAGGCAGGGAGGGAACCTTCTATGGGTCTGCTGGGGGTGGGGGGGGGAGACACCACAGTGTTCAGAGCCCTGCGCCCTGCTTTTCTCCGCTGAGAAGAAGGCACAGGTTTGTTCTGGGCGGCAGATGAAGGGCTTGGGGCACGGGGGTGGGGGTGGCCAACCCCTGACTGGCCAACCCCAGAAAGGAAGCAAGGGAGAGAAAGGGACTGAGCCAGACGGTGACCCATTTGCTTGCAGACATTCACTCCCGTCCCTTCCTCCTTTCTTCTGAGGATCAACATGTTTTCCTCACAGATTCTAGAGATCCGAACATTTTAGATTGAATTCGTGATGCATCTATTTCCTTCTGTATTAAAAGGGGGCACAGATATTTAAAAAACGGCCGTGTTAGTTTTTGTTTTGCTTTCTGAGCCATCCGAGGGTGGTAAGTGCCAAGAGGGTGGTTTTGCGTGGAGAGCCGGTTTCTCACCAACGCTCCTTCCCTGTGGAGGTCACGAAGGGTTTTCTGGGCGCCCCCATGGCAACCGGCCAAACAGCCAGGTTTTACATCTAAGGACAATGTGCCCAGCCCAGCCCCGGGCTGCTGGAAGACACGATGAAACAGAAGCGGTGGCTGCCAGGGTTTATATTGTAGAGGGAGCAGCTGAAAATCACCCATGCGCTGGTGGTGACGCCTGATTCCAGCAGAGCATCTGGGATGCTCTCCATCTTCCGGGCGGGGAAATGGCAAGTGGGCCGGAGAGGAAGGACCTGGCCAGCTGCTGACCCGGACTCTGCACGCTTTCTCCCTCCCCCAGGAGCCGTGCCAGGCAGACTAGGGACCGCGGGGAACATTTCTGCGGAGGAAGGCAGCTCCGTCACCTTACAGTGTCACCTCTCCTCCACCTCAGCCACGGTGACGCAGGTGGACTGGACGCAGCAGGGCCGGTTTCTAGCCATTCATCACGCTGAGTCCGGCTGGTCCGTCTACCCGGCGTTCAGGGAGCGGGTGGTCCCCCGCCCGGACCTGGGCCTCACCCTGCAGGCGCTGACTGCAAACGACACCGGGGTGTACTCCTGCATCTATCACACCTTCCCGGACGGCATCTACAGAGGGAGACTCTTCCTGGAGGTCCTGCGAAGCTCAGGTATGCTCTCCAGAGTGGAGCAGAAGACAAACCTCAGCCTCCAGGAGGGAAAATGCACCCCTGCCATGCGCAGTGGGGCAGGGCCACCTTCCCGGCTCACATGCACATCACCTGGGGGCTTTTAAATAACGCTGATGCCAGCGCCATCCCACACCAATTCAGTAGGAATCTCTAGGGGTGGAGCCAGGACCTGAGAGGTGCTAGGAGAATCCCTGGTAATTCGAACGAGCAGCCAACATTGATAACCACAGTTTTGGGTATAAAAAGGATATGTTATGTATATATATTGACTAGAGGCCTGGTGCATGAATTCTTGCTCAGGTGGGATCCCTCAACCTGGCCAGTGATCAGGGCAGATCAGGGCTATCTCGCCTAGTCCCAGGGCCTTTCAGGACTGGCCAGCCAGGGGGAGGGACCACAGGAGGATGGCTGGCCAGGGGAGGTTGGCTGTGGGGACATGCTGACCACCATGGGTAGCTCCTGCATTGAGCATTTGCCTCCTGGTGGGCACTGCATGTCATAGCTACTGACTGGTTGTCCAGTTGCTTAGGCTTTTATATATATATATAGACTAGAGGTCTGGTGCATGAACTTCACGCACAGGGTGGGGGTTGTCCCTCAGCCCAACCTGCACCCTCTCCAATCTAGGACCCCCGGTGGGATTGGGCCTAAATGGGTGGTTGGACATCCCTCTCACAATCCAAAACTGCTGGCTCCCAACCACTCACCTGCCTCTCCCTGATTTCCCCTAACCACTTTTGCCTGATAGCCTAATCACCCACTGATCGATGCCTAACTGCTCCCCGGCTGACCTGATTGCCCTCCCTCCACAACTGCCTTCCTCTGCCAGTCTGGCAACCCCTAATAGTCCTCCCCTGCTGTCCTGGGTCCCCTCCAACAGTCTTCCCCTGCAGGCCTGGTCCCCACAAGTGCCCTCCCCTGCTGGCCTTGTTTCCCCCAACTGCCCCTCCTCTGTTGGCCAGTCACCCCTAACAGCCCTTCCCTACAGGTTTGGGTCTCTCCCAACTGCCATCCCTTGCTGGCCTGGTCACCCCTAACTGCCCACAATTACCCTCCTCTGCAGGCTATCTTGTGGTGGCCATCTTGTGTCCACATCGGGACAGCCATCTTTGACCACATGGAGGTGGTCATCTTGTGTTTGGAGTGATGGTCAATTTGCATATTACTCTTGTATTAGATAAGATATGGTCATTTAGAAAATGTTCTCATTTCTTAGGTTAGCATGGATCACACAGATTAGAATTAGGTTCTAAATGTATAAGGGATTAGAGCTGGGTAGAAACAAAGCTGTGTGCTAAGTGTAAATGTACAATCATTTGCATTTTAGAAAGGTTTTTAAATTTTTTTTCAATTACACTTTACAGGCAATACTGTATTAGTTTCAGGTGAACAACATAGTGATAGGCATTTGTGTACTCTACGAAGTAATCACCCTGACAAGTACCCACCTGGCATACAGCGTTATGACAATAGCATCGACTATATTCCCTGTGCTGTACTTTACATCCTTGTGGTTGTTTTTATATCTGTCAATTCTACATCTTAACCCCTCCCCGTTTTTCATTCATCTCCCCCTCCCCCCCCAACTGGCAACCATCAGTTTGTTCTCTGTATCTATGATTTTGTTTGTTTGTTTGTTTGTTATTTATTTATTTGTGTGTGTGTGTGTGTCTGTGTGTGTGTGTGTGTGTGTGTTTTAAGATTCCACATATAAGTGAAATCATGTGGTATTTGTTTTCATCTGCCTGACTTATTTCACTTAGCATAATACCTTCTAGGTTCATCCAAGTTGTCACAAAGGCAAGATTTCATTCTTTATGGCTGGTTAACATTCCCTGTGCCAGTGCGCCACATCTGTGTGCATTCATGGACACTTAGGTTGCTGCCATATCTGGGCCATTGCAAATAGAGCCTCGATGGACATAAGGGCACTTCTATCTTTTTGAATTAGTGTTTTGAACGTTTTTGGATAAAATTAAAAATAGAACTATCATTATGACCCAGCAATTCCTCTTTTGGGTAGTGGAATTGCTGGGTCATAATGATAGTTCTATTTTTAATTTACGATCATTGACATTTGTTCGTGCTTCATAGTTTCCAAAATAACCTCACGTCTGTTATCCATCTGGACACTTGAACCGGTTGTCTGGACGGAGGGAAAGGATTCTGACCGGATCTGAGAGGCAGTGCAGTGGAGTGGTTGTGAGCTCAGGCTGATGCCAGGCAGTCGATGTCCGAATCCCGGTGCTGCTGGTGACCACAGGCAGGATTAGGTAGCGGCTCCGTGCAGTGCTTTTCTCCCTGGTGAAAGGAGGCAGTTGTCAGACCCGGGGAGGTGCTGACAGGGGTGAGTTACTCACTACACGCAGACGCCAGTAGGACGGCACCTGGGACATGCCTGGGAAGCACCACGCGCCTCTCCGCGATGAATGGATGAATACACTGCTTGTCTGACGGAGGCAGCGGGAGTGAGGCGTACAGTGGCTCAGGGCATCAGTGCTGACTTGAACACAGGTGTTCTGGTTCCCGGAACGGCACCCTCTGAACTTCTAGTTGCTGATTGTGCTAGAGATTAAGCTTTATGAGTTGGCAAAATCTGTGAGACTGTTACCTTGAAGTTTTTTTTTAATGCCTGCTTCCACATAGGCCAATTATGCGTGCGGATAAGAGCTACATGTTTTTCTGTGGGCAGCCCTCTGCAGCCCTCTGCTCCTCATCTGCCCCCCTTCTCTCCACCTGTGGCCAAAGCAGGAAATGGAATCCTCAGGGCAGGAGAAGCATGTGCTGGGGGTTTGGGCTCCCTCTCCTACCCCTCCCGGTACCATGTGGAGACTGTGGGCACTGCCCTTGTTCTAAGGGATTGCATTCCTGGGCCACCTTTCCTGCAAGCGCAGCCCTTAGTCAGCGGGAAAAGGGCCTGGCTCTGCTTCGCCCTCCTCTTTTCTCCCCCGGCACTTGGGAAGGAGGTGGAAACCCTTTCCCCGCAGCAAGCACACATGGGTAACTGTCCTGTTCTTCTCACACGCTTCTTGGATAAAATGTCATCTCCTCAAAGCCCCTTTTCTGCCTCTTTCTCCTTCCAGTTACATTTTATGTTCACAGACATTCTCTTGTTCGTGCTTCAACTCATATCACACACTGACGAAGCACCTGTTCTGTGCCAGGTGCTTGATAAATATTTGTGGTCTGGCCTGGCTGGTGTGGCTCTGTGGTTGAGGTCACAGTTCCATTCCTGGTCAGGGCACAGGCCTGGGTTGTGGGTTCAATCCCAAGTAGGGGGCCTGGAGGAGGCAGCCGATCAATGGTTCTCATTATTGGTATGTCTATCTCTCTTTCTCCCTCTCCCTTCTTCTCTGAAATCAATAAAATATATATGTAAAAAGGATTTGGGGTGTGAATGAAGGAGAACAGTAGAGGAAACAGCCCCAGGACCTTGCTCAGGTCTCACGCCCAGGAGGAATAAGTGCCATAGGCTTAAGGGGAAAGGTTATGTGCGCTTTTTTTTTTTTTCATGTTTATATTAATTTTATTTTAATTTTTTAAGTTAAAATTTTCCTACTAGTATGATTATAAATATGAAGTTTAATAAGAGAAAATTTTCCTTTTCCATTTTCTCTGGATATTGCCATTTGTTTTATTTCGTGAGTTTTAATTACCCAAAGTGGCGTTGTTGAGTGGAGGAGGGGGGCTAACCATGGCTGCTCTGGCGTAGCTTGTGAGGTACACAACGGCTCACGTGTCGGTGGTTCATGGCGGGCCAGGCAGATGGTCTGCTGTCCTGTGGCCAGAGAAAGGCCTGGCCAGCCCCCACCGCTGCGTCCCGAGCTCAGGCCTCTCTGGGACACGGGTGCCCTTTGCTTCCGGCCTCAGTCCATTTCCCTTGTTTGTCCTCCCTCTAGGCGCTGGGCACCTCCCGGGGCTCCTCCTCCCCCTGCTTGGGGTCCTGCTGCTGGTGGTCATCTGCACCGTGGTCACAGCGGTGGTCATGTTGGCCAGAAAGGTAAGACTCTGGACCCCAGGCCAGCCACCCTGGTTCTTTCAGATTCTCCAGAGACAGTCATAGACGGGACCCCCACTGCCCTTTGTGCCTTTTTCACGGTCCTTGTTCTGCCTTTTGGGGAAGTTGCTTGCATCCTTCCCTGTGCCTTCCGTTATCTGGGAGCGCCTCTGCCATGAACTCCAGACTATTTTTCCTGGCATGCATGAATATCTAATAAAGAGGTGATATGCAAATTGACCATCACATCATCATAAAGATGGTGGTGCTCACAGTGGAGGCAGGGTTTCCATAACACAAGATGGCTGTACCCACAGTGGAGGCTGAGTTCCCGTAATGAACTTTAAGGAGCAGGGAACTGAGGCTGCGTGGCACTGTACCGGATCCAGCGGCATCACAGGTCCTGGAGGTAGGGCTAGGAGGTTTTAAGAGAAATAAAGACAAGAGAAAGCGGGATTTCAGGAGGACTGCTAGTCCATGATGAGACTGCAGTAACTTTATTAGTTGCAAGCGTACATTTATGCGGCTTTTCTGGGCATTTCTCCAAGTGCCCCTTTCCCAGGACAAGGCCGCCCGTCAGCTCCTCAAGACATTCTTGGAAAAGATACATAGAGCAAGCATCTGGATAGATATCATTGAGAACAGCCTAGCTGAGAACATCCAGATAAGTCATGCATCACACGCACTCCCTAACAATGGGGCTATGGTCTGCCCTGTCCCTAGTTGACCCTGAAGGCTTAGGGGAGAGCAGGTAGGCGTCCCTACCCTGTGCTCTATCCCCTGTAGGAGAGCAGGTAGGCGTGCCTACCCTATGCTCCATCCTTGTCCTCTGGCCCCACGGAACACGGCTTCCCACACCACTGGGCTGGGGCAGGGGACCTGAGCCTGTGCCCCCACCCAGTGGGGCTTGATGGGGTACCTGAGGCTGCGCCCCCCACCAGGCAGGGCTTGAAAGAGGACCCGAGGCTGTGCCTGCCTCCCCTCCTAGTGGGACTTGATGAGAGATCTCAGGTCGTGTCCCCCACCCAGCGGGGCTTGATGGGGGACCTCAAGGTGCAACCCCCACCTTGGCCCAGACTGGGGGGCCTCAGGCCATGCCCCCTGCCCTGGCGCTAGGTCAGAGGACCTCAGGCTGCACCATTTTCCCTGGGGCCAGGCCAGGGACCTGAGGGTGCATCAGGGGATCTGAGGTCGCGCCCTCTCCCTGGCGCTGGGCTGGGGGACCTGAGGCTGCACTTCCCCACCTGGCGAAGCTTGATGGGAATGGGTCTGGCTGGGTCTGAGTCTCATGTGATTTTGAGGTGTGCACAGGTGGGCGGGGACTTGACTCTGAGTCCTGTGCCATGCCCTAGACCAGGGGACTGCAACCTTTAAAACATAAAGAGCCACTTGGACCCATTTCTGAAGGAAAAAAAAAAAAAACCTGGGAGCCGCAAAACCATTGCGACATTTAAAACAAATATAACACTGCATATATTGTTTCTTACCTTAATGCTATATACCGGATCATGCAGTTAGCTGTCAATCTGAAGAAAAAAAGGACTTTTTCACTTAACAATGTAAAATATATTTTTGCAAATTATGCTAATTAAAATATTTATTTTACCTGGTTAATGGGATTTTTGCTCCTGAACCTCAGTGCACGGTGTCAGCACATCAGGGCTGTGAGATGTTACCTTCATTTTCACACAGGCTTGCAAGTTGTCGGATCTGCGGTAAAGCTTCAAAAGAGCCGCATGCGGCTCTGGAGCCGTAGGTTGCCGACACCTGCCCTAGACTCTGACAGGAGGATGATTTTCATATACATTTTACTAATTTTCTTTCATCTCTGACACTTCTATTATAGAGAAAGGGCAAATAGCAATGTTAAAATATTTCCTCTAATTAATTCTTATAAATATACTAGAGGTCTAGTGCATGAAATTCGTGCACTGGGGGGGGGGGGGACTGTCCCTCAGCCCAGCCTGCACCCTCTCCAATCTGGGACCCCTTGAGAGATGTCTGACTGCTGTTAGTTTAGGGCCAATCCTGCAGTCAGACATCCTTCTCACAATTCAGGACTGCTGGCTCCTAACTACTCTGCCTGCCAGCCTGATCACTCCTAACTTCTCCCCTGCTGGCCTGATTGACACCTAACTACTCCCCTGCTGGCCTGATCACTCCCAATTGCCCTCCCCTGCAGGTCTTGTTGCCCCCAATTTCCCTCTCCTGCAGACCTGGTTGCCCTGAACTGCCCTTCTTTGCTGGCCATCTTGTGACAATGTGGGGAGCAGCCATCTTGTGGCAACCATCTTGTGATGATGTGGGCAGCCATCTTGTGATGATGTGGGGGCGACCATCTTGTGATATCATGGGGGCAGCCATCTTGTGACAACCTAAGGGTGGCCATCTTATGATGTGAGGGCATGAGGGTCAATTTGCATATCACCTCTTTATTATATAGGATGTTCTTATAATTACTATACACTTTATTATAACACCTCAGAATACCTGGTGCTCAATAAATATTTGCATTGCATGGACCTACTAGACCAGTGGTCAGCAAACCACGGCTCGAGAGCCACATGTGGCTCTTTGGCCCCTTGAGTGTGGCTCTCCGCCACACTCGAGTATACCACATTCGAGCATACACTTACAGTGCAATTGGAACTTTGTGGCCCAAACACAGAAGTCAGTTTTCTGCCTGGGTCTCTTTTGAAGAAGCAGTGTTAGAACACTCAAGGGGCCAAAGAGCTGCATGTGAGCCGTGGTTTGCTGACCACTGCTCTAGACTAAATGAATGATTGTTATCTGCCAGGCAGCTGCTGGCAAGAGTGCCCCCAGGGACCTTCTGAGAGGTTCGGCAGAGATGGCTGTGTCCAACGTCAGGACCATGACTGCCAACCCACTGTCCTTCTCCTCGGGTTCTCTAAGGGGGCAGTGTTTGTCCTGCAGCCCCAGCTGTGGGTCATCAGGTGACTATGCCCACTTAGCAAGTGGACATCCGGGTCTGGAGATCAGGGCAGAGACTATGGGTGGAGATTTGGGCAACACCAGAGGGAAGAGGGTGGTTGTAGATGTACATTTAGATGCAGCATCTCAGAGAGAGTGTTGAATGTGAGAAAGCAGAGGGCAGAACCTTGGGAACCCCTGTAATTGGGGAGCTGATGTGCAAGCAGGAAAAAGAGCAGGGCTGGCTGAAGGTGCAGATGGGTTCACAGGAGGAGGAGGAGAACCAGGGAGAAGGTGCCATGGAAGCTGGGGAAAGAGAGCATTTAAAAAAGGAAGAGGTCATCAGTGTGTGGGGCGACAAAGAGTAGAGAGAAGCGGGGTGCAAGCTGCCTCACTGGGCTTCGTGAATAGGGAGGAATGGTGACAGGTGCATCGGGTGTGTAGAAAGTTTTGTTTTGGTGGAATGGCTGAGAAAGTAAGGGTCAAGAGATTGATGTTGGTAAGAACACAACTTCGTGTGTGGATGTGTGTGTGTGTGTGTGTGTGTGTGTGTGTGTGTGTGTAAGAAAGGAAGAGATCATTATAATTACGTATCAGTTGGGGAGTAACTTTTGGATTACACCCCTACATACTCTGTCATTTGTTTGTTTTTAGAAGAAATTTCTCAGAATTCGCTCTGCAGAAAGTGGCCTCAGGAGCGTGCCATGTGGACAGGAGGAATGGGAGCTCAGGGTTCCGGCCGCCCCTGCCAGCTGCGTCGGGGTAGAAGCTGCGGCTGCTGGTTCAGGCTCATGCAGAGAGCAGAGGGACGATGACTATGACGAGCCACACGACTACTTCAACGTCCTGAGCTACAGGAGCCTCGGGGACATCAGCTTCCCAGCAGAGACTGGTTAGCGGCCAGAGGCAGCTCCTGGAAGACACAGCTTGACTATGCTATCACAAACGGGTTGTAGGGTCTGCACTCTCCGTCACTGCGGGGTGTGTGTGTGTGTGTGTGTGTGTGTGTGTGTGTGTGGTGTGTGTGTGTGCAGTTGAGTGAATGATTGCCATTCTCACCCCTGTCTGCATTTCCTCTCCCCTTCCCTTCCACTCCATTGTGGCAGACCCAGATGAGCAGCTTGAGTCTTGATTATGAATGCAATGTTGAAACAGTGTGACCTGATTTTGAGTCTGGCAGTTTGAGACAATTCTGTGGCTCTGGACAACGTGTTCCTCCTAACAGCCCTGGGCGGGGGCTTAGGTGACAAGGTTTTGTGGGGGATGATGATGACAGTGTGTTTGCAAAGCCACATTCTTTTCATTTTTCACTGTCATTCCCATCAACAGTTACCCATTCAAGGCATTTTAGATTAAGGCGTGGTCCCAGCGTCTGGAGGATGACTAAACCATGGTCTCGAGTCTCAGCCCTTTGAGAACTTCCAGTTAAGTGGGGAGATGACATTTCCAGGAAAGACAGGAAGGGGTAGGGATATAAGACCCGTGCTTGTGGAGGATATGCCAGTTTGGCGTGAGGTGGTCAGGATAGGCATACCTGTGGTGAAGTGGCCCAGGAGGATGGGGAACAGAGGGGCCAGTCTGGTGAGAGCAAGTTTTTACACAAGGAACTTGTAGAAACCAAAGTCGGGAGCTAAAGCCTCACAAGGAAGACCCTGGTACCAAGGGAACCTACTTCAAATTCAAATCTCTTGTTGCACTCACTCAGCGTATAGCGATGGGCTATATGGGGCTCCAGGCTCTTCCAGCCATGTGCTGGGGAGCCCCGGAAACGGTGCATGCTCCCCGGGGCCTGCGTGACCTTGGGCAGTGACCCAGGTTTTCTCTGTCAATCCAACACCAAACTTTGAAAAAAGAACCTGTTTCCCACTGAAAGGAAAATCTAGATTTTTAAAATAAGGACTCTTCCTAGGAAAAATATAAACTGAGGGCGAGAGTTTCTAAAAATGTACACCCCCAAGCTATCGTCTCTGAAGGCTTACATTCAGCCCTGGACCCTTCATGCTGCAGTTGGGTGGCATCGGAGCTGCTCATTTCTGTTCAGGTGGAATTTAGGCTTTTATCCTCCCACTGTCTCTCAGAGAAACGAGGAGGGAGGTTGGCTCACAGGTGAGTGATTTCCTTTCACGGGCACAGGAACCGAGAGAGAATGTGAGGCAAAGCTGCCTGCTGACAACTATTAAAATAAAGCATTGCCCTGCTCCCCAAGAATCAGGCTGGTTGAGCAAGAAGACAATTGAACTCCTACACCTCCTTGCATTTTTATTTTTATGTTCTCACTTTTCAACCAAACGGGTCTGTAGTTAGGAGCAATGAGCTGAAATCTGTCCAGAGTGCCAACTTGTTTGGAAGAAAGAGGCACGTGAACAACACCGTTATTTGCCATGGCAGTCAGTACACAGCACTTTTCTTGCAAAACTAGTGCAAATTTGTTGGTAGTAGAAAACAATTCACGGACAGGAAATGAATGAAGATGCAATGACGAAAAGGGAGTGTTGTTTTGCTTTGATGGAGATACATTGGGTCGAGGTAGACTGAGAGTTGGGTGTTATAGAACATGATTGTGGCAACTGGAAACATTTACAAATACCATTTGGAGTTGATAAAAACACAGAAGGACTCAGAGATGTCGTAAGTGGGTCAGGTGCCTAAAATGAGATTGAATTCAACAGAAAATAAATTTTAAAGTGGAATCCAATGAGCTAGATTTTCCTTGGAGAACCAGAGGCGACAATCCTGTCAAAGTCACATTCCTGAGGTCACGCCCAGCCCAGCCCCATAGCTGCTCTCCACATGCAGCTATGAGCAAGGGAAATGTGTGGTGAGTATAAAATACACATCAGGATTTAAAGACTTAGAGTGAATAATAAGAATGTAAATGATCACATCAGTCACTTAAAATATTGATTACATGTCATAATGACAACATTTTGGATATGTTGTGTTAAGTAAAATATATTATTAAAATTCATTTCCCTTGTTTCTTTTTACTCTCTAATGTGAACTACTGGACAATCTAAAAGTGCATATGTGGCTTCCATTGCATGTTTACTGGACCATGTTGCTCAGACTCTAAACCTGAGCCAAGCTGGTATCTGGGGATGGTATGTGTCTCTGATTCATGGTCTCTCTTTCTCATTCAAAGTAGGGCTTGATTAGACGTTTTTCCTCTTTCATTATGTCTTTCTAGAAATATATAGGGAAGAATCACATGGGATGTTGAGGTAGGGGACCTCTAAATGCAGACAGGAAGAGACCTTAGGCTGTCCTGAATCCCCTCTGGAATTCTTTGACAGGAGAAGAGGAGAATAAAAGGGGAATCATTGAATGATGAGAGTTCAGGGCGAAATACACTTATTGATTCCTTACCCCTTACCACTCCAAATTCTAAGCCTGGGCATGTAGAGTATGATCTGTAATCCAAAGGACTATATTGAACAGACATGAGAAATATGAGTCATGGAGCTTTGACATAAATGATCTTCATGAGTGGACATAACCTTGCCATGCAATTTTGTATCATGACTTGTCCCTTCTCCACCACACTGGAATTCCAGTGGATCATCTCACAGTTAGGTTCATACAGATCCCATCAGGAAAGGCGGCCCAGTGCACGAATGGCAGTACTCTGGTGGGCAAACCATACTCCACAGCAAGGAGGGAGCCAGCAGCATGGCTGTGGCTGTCAGCATGGGGTGTGAGTTTTGGTCAGTCTTCTGGTGCTTTCTAGTCCTGCTTCAGTGCTGTAACCAGTAATCTCCCACCTCCACTCTATTGCAGACCTCCCCAGAGGCCCAGGGGAACCTTATGTGTTCAAGAGCCTGTGCTTTATGGGGGTTAGAACTATATACCTTGATGTTTCAGATAATTAATTTGCATAGATAGCGTCTAGGACAATACTATCCAACAGAACTTTCTGTGATGCAAGGTCTGTGTCTTTGCTGTTGAATGTAGCAGCCATTAGCCACACATAGCTATTGAGCACTTGAAAGGTGGCTAATGTGACTAAGAAACAGAATTGAAAACGGTATTTAATTTTAATTACCTTAAATTCAAATGCAGGTAAGTAGTGACATGACTGGTAGCTAGTACGTTAGACATTGCAGTGAATGCCTTGCATATGGAGAAAACACAGAGAGATGTTTATAGGCTAGTGGACAGCTCTACAGATGTTATGCATTTGAGAGAACTCTGACCAGGAAGAAACATGGAGGTTATCTTCTAGTGTCTATAGTCTTCCTTTGATCAAGACTAACCATGAGCCAAAACCGGTTTGGCTCAGTGGATAGAGCATTGGCCTGCGGACTCAAGGGTCCCAGGTTCGATTCCGGTCAAGGGCATGTACCTTGGTTGCAGGCACATCCCCAGTAGGGGGTGTGCAAGAGGCAGCTGATCGATGATTCTTTCTCATTGATGTTTCCAACACTCTATCCCTCTCCCTTCCTCTCTGTAAAAAATCAATAAAATATATATTTTTTAAAAAGACAAACCATGAGGCCAAAAACAGGATGTGAATTTATTTATTTCAGACTCTTTCCAAAAGACACCTGAAGTAGTTAAGTGGTCCAGTTAAGGTGCTGAGGGTGAGGGCTGTCTAGAAGTTTGCAATTGATAGGTGTTAGGCAGGAAGAGACACGCAGTACAGGACTTGCCCTGGTTATTCCAACTTCATGTAGCTTGTGAAGACACCTTCTCTGGGGCCAAAAGTCTGGTTGCTGTTACAGAGATCAACAGGGAAGTAGCTGATGTGTCACGGACTGGGCATCAAGACTCGTCCAGGTGCCGAGCACTGACGCTGCGCTTCATGACTTTGAAATGAGCACTTTCACTTCCCAACCCTCATTACAAACGTTTCCTCACTTACACCGTGGTAATGACAATACCTAGTGTAGCATGTTCTGAGGAAGATACAGTAAGGTAATGTGGTTCACTCTTTAAGCTGTAAAATGCTGAATTCTTATGAATATTGCATTATGTCTCACAAGCATGTGTGCCTGGCTCTGCTTATGATGCCACAGAGGTCCCCAAGGGAGCACCAAGTTGTTGAGATCAACCAAGGCACCTGTAATGATCCAACTCCTAAGTACTGGGGTTGAAGGAATGCTAAGAATTGCAGCTATATCCTGGGGGCCCGCAAGTATCTGTATTTTAAACTGTTATGTTGTGAGATGGTAATCTTTTAAAAAGTGAAACTTATCTTGGATACCTATGACCTTCCTATAACAGAGGGCTGTCATTATCTTCAGAATCTATATTTATAATTAAGTTGGTTTCAAGACATGGAGGCTCCATTAATAAATAATTCATTTGCTCCAAGTGAGGATTTTGCAGCAGTCGCGATCAGGGAAGGGGTGGGAGGAGCGTGGTCACCGGGCTCAGGGCAGTGCAGGGCAGCTGGGGGGCTGGTGCAGGGCCTGCAGTGCTCCTCACTCAGGGAGCAGGAACTCGGGCTCAGCAAGACATCCCCCAACACAGCAAATCCATGTTTTATTTTAATGGATTTTGTAGGCTTTTTTTTTTAACTTGTATTTAAAATTTATTTAAAATTTACTTTATTTTCATTTTAGTATTATAATTCTGTAATAGCTATAAGGTTTACCTGGTTGTATGTTTGAGCATATTTAAGAAAGATTATAATAAAAATAATTATAGCCTATATTAGTTATTAATTTATTTTTAAACATTATAATAAAAATAATTTCAGATTCCTCCTCTGGGGGATGGTCTGTGGAAAGTATCAATGTTTTAAAATATATTTTATTGACATTTTACAGAGAGGAAGGGAGAGAGATAGAGAGCTGGAAATGTCAATGAGAGAGAAACATTGACCAGCTGCCTCTTGCACACCGCCTACTGGGAATGTGTCCACAACCAATGTACATTGACCGGAATCGAACCTGGGACCTTTCAGTCCGCAGACCAACACTCTACCGCTGAGCTAAACCGGTTTCGGCCTTTATTTATTTATTTTTTTAAAATAAAGGTATATTCATTACTCAAGTTTGAGAGACCCTGGTGTGGTATACATATCGTTGGGTTTCAGAAAACTTGACTTCAAGCACTAGTGTTTTAATGATTTTATAATGGGAAAAGCACATATTTCTGAACCCATGTTCTATAAACTGGTGTAATAACCACTTCACAATGTTTCACAGGGAAATTGTGAGGATGGATAAATACATGAAGGAAATCTTTGTAAACGGTTAAGTGCCATATGAACAACCTCTGTGCCACTGTTACTGTAGCTCATATGTGTCAGCAGGCAGAGAGGAGGCCCTGAACCTTTGGTGGTTGTGCACAGGGAGATCAAAGGCTCCGGGAGAAGCTGGCTGGCATCATCAGGATGTTGCTAGGATTCACAGAAATCAAATAGGGACAAATTTTGCATCATGAAAATGTTTTCTTCCTATTTTCTATTTCATAGACTATCAGGAAACTTGGTGCTCGGTGACTGAGCTGCAAGAGGTCACCATTTAAAGTCACAGAGGTCACCTTTCAGCCAGAGTTCCCCTCAGACTCTCCACGCCCCAAGCCCAGGCCTGGTATCTGTGTGCTCACACGGGTGGAATGCCTATCTGTGCTCACCTCCTCCAACCCAACGCCTGCATGTCCGCGGGAGTCCCCAAGCCAGACTGTTTATTTCTTGGACCCTTCCTTGACGTGCCCTGCTCATTTATCTTTGCTAATTTGTAAATTCCCATGCCACTGCGAGTTTGAATGGTAAGATCTAGCTTTTGATTTTATATGAACTTTATTTCAGTGGTTAGAGTTTAAGGTTTACCAGGCCTGAAGTAACATGCTCTGTTTCCTTCACACACTGCAGAGCCGAAGGGAAGGGAGATGCTTTTCTGAAGAGCTGGTGAATATAATTCAGTTGGAGTGACTTCCTGGGGACAAAGGAGATGTCCGTCTTCCCCACTGCACCAGCAATTTCTGCGAGCGATGAGGTTAGAGAGTTCTCCGGGTAGAGTGGCATCTGAGAAAGGGTCTAGGTAGTAGGAGTCTCCACAGACATCAAATGGGGATGCATTTTGAGCCGTGAACACTCCGTGGGTACAAGGGTACACGATAGATGGGCACAGTGTTTTACAGGACTGGTTAGTTCCACAAGAGACTGGCTTGCATGTGAGGAAGGAACAAAGGTGAATGATTTAGGTAACAGTGAATGAGCCTTGTGATCACTTGTGAGATTTAGATGAAAAAATGAAAATGCCTAAATTTGCATTATATTTCCTTAAACGACCTCAGTGTTACCAGTCTTGGCATTCCTATCTCTTGTGCCAAGAGGAGAATATATTAGGAATGTTTCTGACCTTTTAGGGGTAATTCTTATTTGGATAATCTCTAGACCTAGTTCACAATAAATAAATGAATGTGGAGAACTGCCTAAAACAGAATAACTGTCACAATAGAAAGAAGACACAGTAGGAAACAAGAGAAAAGTTTTTTGTTTTTTTTTTAATTATTCCTTCATATTCAAACTTCACAAACAGTGTGAACTTGTACAATACCTCGGAAAGTGAAACTTACAAAAAAAGTGCTGGTAACATTTAAAAAAAACAACAAAAACCCCAAAAAACAAACATCATTCTTAGCAACATCAATTACTCTTCCACACAAAACAGAAACCTTGTAAAATTTATTTTCGTATTTTTAAGGCGTAATACTTCCGTATAAAGTATATGCAAGAGATAAAACTTCACAGTATTCCAAAATGTCACAATAATAATATAATAGTATAATGAAGCGCTACAGTTAATTTTTCTTTTTTTGAAATTTTTTTCCTGTTTAAATAACAAATACAAGTCACAGGTAAATATACGTGAGAAAAATACGAGGCTAATATTAAATGGCAGGTAAGGATACTGTCACTGTAAGAAAAACTGGCAGGATGTGTGTATTTAGTCTATATTTTAAAGCACTTGATAGAAAAGGCGTATGCAAGGTTTTTGAAAACAATTTTTCTGTTTGTTTGATAACTGACAACAATTTAAGAGTATAATGAAAAAAAAAAAAAAAGGAACAAACTCCCTCTCAAAACTATTGACCTGCTCATCCCACACCACGTCTATACGGATGGATGGATGTGTGTTTGTGTGTCCATGGGTTTGTACGGTACACGGATTGGTACAAGCAGTGTTCCACACCCACCTGCAAAGATAGGAGGCTAGTGTCTCTGCAGTCACTGAGACCCGGTTCCTCTTGGGAAGTCATTCTAACGTTAAGTTCTCTTCTTCCTGGCTTTTCCCTCTTTCCAAACTCTTCCCCAATTCCCAGGTCTTCAGTCTGAAAAGACAATCTGGTTTACAAAGTTGCCCTCCCCTCAAAATTCACTGGGAAATAGAAACTGCATAAACAGTGACACCCACACAGACATGGAGAATACCACTTGGATGAATGGATATGTTTATGCGTGTGTGTGTGTGTGTGTGTGTGTGTGTGTGTGTGTGTGTATTGCGCGCGCGCGCGCGCACGTGCATGTGTACAGTAGCAATTGCGAAAAAGGGACCATATTCCTTTCCATATGAAGATACAATGTGATAAGAAACATTTCTGTGCAGGAAACAGGGTCTCTTAGAATCTTATCACAACACCGTGGCGGGAACATCAGGAAATGGGTTCACCTTTCAGCAGTCACCACAGTAAACTTCATTGAGAACACACCTGCCCAGACGTCCCGCCTGGGCACAGGTGGGTGTTAACAGCTAGCCATTCAGCCAACAGGTAACAGAAAGACAGCAGATAGCAAAACACATCAATAAGGTGCTCAAAGAAAAAAGTGGCACCCACTCCTCGAATGGATGGCCACAGTAAGGTGCTTCAAAAAAGTTTTTTCTTTTTTTTTTTTTTTCAGTTTTTATTTCAAACATTGCGAGTACTGGTTTGCACGTGGTAGTTCTGAGCCAGGCCAACGGTTTTGAGATTTCTGACATCTTCCATTGAAAAGGGCTTTCACTGTAGTTGATTTACTCAGTTTGTTGTGGGTCACTTGAGCTTAAAAAATGCATTTAATAGCCAAAAAACGGAAATCAAATCAATATGACTAAAAGAAGTAACAGATGAAATGGTACAGAACATTACTGCATTCCCATTGGATCAAGATGGTCTCGCCCATTTTTCCTCTTCCACTAACACTGTTCCTTTTTTCTTTGTTACAATCCGTTCCTTGTGAACATACAGACATGACCAAAGTCATTGCGAAGAGCTGTTTTTATTTTTTGTGATCTGTTGCAAGAGTCCAACCTTGTTTCCTCTGCTGCTGTTTGTGTTGCATCTGGATTTGTGATGAGCATCTGGATTGGTTGTGTGCATATGTGCACATATACACACCTATACATGTATAATATATACACTGTATATATGAAGATACAGGAAGTGTGTATACATTTATACATCATATAGTGACTATTGTTTCAACTGGAGATAAACTGAACTGGGTTCCCACACTAGCACATGTTTATCTTTCCTCTGCTCCCTCTGTCTATTTCAAACAGGATGGAGCTTCCATTTATTTTTTTAAAGTGCATTTTCAATGCAGAATAACTGTAATTCACTGATTCCTTGGAAAACATTTTTGATGAGAAAAATCTGACAGTTCTCAGCCCCGAGCAAGAGAAACCTGGGTCTGGTCATGCCAGGGGCTGATGTGGCAGTGCCAGGCTTGAGCCTGAGTGATTACTGGGCATTCTGGACTCTGGGCACCTTAGCAGCAGCAGCAGCACCGTTAGGAGAAGGCGGAGACAGAAGAGGGAGAAGGAAGGAAAGCTCAGATGAGGAAGGATGAGTCTGCGGGATGTTCACGGCCAGAATTAACTTTGTACGGATTTGTGCAGTTCCTGCGTGGCTCCAGCTGAGGACGCCATGGAGTCCCCTGCCCACCCACTGACACCAGCCTCCCCGTGTGCCCACATGCACGTTCAAGCATCGCCCATGCGTCCCCACTCCCAAGGCTGACTTCCTGTCAGTTCCCTGTGGGTATGTGAGTGCCAGCATTGAGAAGGAATAAGGCACCAGAGAAATCAAAATGTTACAAAAGATGCAAAAACCCATTTCAAAGAGCCTCTCCCATGGTTCCGTTAAAATATTGCATGTGATACCACTCGTTTGTGTGACTTAAATGTGTCAAATGCGGTCTCTGAAAGGGGCTGGAGGCCCCTCAGCACCAGAGATCTGGAGGAATGCACCCTTTGTCCAGACACACCCACGCCCCCACTCCCTCCCACGCCACACACAAAAGCACCAGGTCGGGAGAACAAGGCTGCTTGCCCTTGCTCACCTCAGTTTTGATAAAAATCAAAGAAGTCCATGAAATAGAATCTTCAGGAACTGATCTGAGATCAGTTTGGGCTGCCAGGGATCTAGTTATGTCACGTTCTCAACGTCCAAAGAGCCTCGTGAACATGTTTGCGATCAATGCTTAGGGGGAATGTGCTAAAAAAATGACTTCTCAGATCTCGAGTTCTCCACTAACACTTCAACCTCCCCTATTTGTTTTTAAATACTGTAAAAAAGGAAGAGATTCACCTACCTATAAAAGGAAAAAATGAAGGCACATGATTTTATTCGGTCCCAGAAAAGTGGCATTTTGCAAGTTCGAGTGTGTGTGTGTGTGTGTGTGTGTGTGTGTGTGTGTGTGTGTGTGAACTCGAGTGCAGACACACGACATAGGAGTCTGGGGCTGCTGGGGCAGTCGTCCCGAGGAAACTGGGGAAGGAGACAGAGGAAGGGGGTTCTGAGACAGAGGAGAAAGGAGAAAGGGGGAAAGGAGGCCTCTCTTCAGCTTTCTGTCATGGACAGTCTCAAGATTTTGGCTGCTTTAAGGTCCAGAATGGAATTCATTTATCTTGGTCTAGAAAGTGCCCCCAGTTACATATCTCCAGTTAATCATGTTACCACTTTGGGTGTTCCCCTTTTCCCTTCCCTCCAGCCAAATGATTTTTAAAAAAATCACAGTTTTTAAAAATTATTTTTTCAATGTTGACAAAATATGGAAAAGCTATTGAACAGCCGCAGGGCCCGCTGCCTCTCCACCCTCACAGTGAGCAGAAGGATGGGCCCACAGAACCCAGAGGAGCCGGCAGGATGCTTGTGCAGGACGGTCCTTCGCACCTCCTTCCACCTTCCAGCACCCAGAGCCTCTCCTTTCAGCGGAACCCCTCTGCTCCCAGCCCATCAGGGGAATGTGGGCGCTGCAAAGACAAAGCCACTCCGGAGAATGGAGAGCGATGGTAACAGGAGAGGGTCTGACAGGCTAGAGGCTCCTCCTCACAGTGTGCTCTCGGTAGCCTGGCCCCAGGACGGAAAGCTGGTTGCCCACTGAGAGGCTGAAGTCCCATTCACATTTGCTTCATGAGACCTCAGCTCGCAGTTCACCACCTTTGTGCCTCTCTGGGCGTCAGAGCTGGCTCCAGGCCTGAAGAAGGCCTTGGTCCAAGACCGCGAGGCAGAGGCAGCTGGCTGCATCACACAAAAAGGGCTACGGACAGTGGGATTTCAGAAACAAATTTAACTTTGGTTTTCCGACATATTCAAACCATAAAAGTTAAAGCAGGGCTTCAGAGGCTTTGATCTGACTGATGTTATATTTTTTTCTCATTTGGCATGACTAAGGCGGGGGGAAGAGAAAAGAGTTCCCACAATTGGTCGAAGACACAGGGTGGTAAATGCTTCCACACTTAAACTCACAGTCCAGTGTTTTTGACATTTCATAAATAGCTTTTTTTTCTCTAAAAAAAGAATAAAACAAGAACAATCCCTTTACTTACTTATCTGAAACAAAATAAACAGCAGTGGGTACAAACTTCTTCTTGTAACAATTACAAAAAACAACAATATAATCCCAACTTTTAACACGCATCTTGAATCAGTTATTTTTTTTTAACCTCAAAACTGCAGCATATCCTTAAGGGCAAACTTTTCGATTAGTTTTTTTTCTTTTTTTTTTTTTAAATAATGTCTTCACCAAAAAAACAGTCTTGTACCAATAAAATGCATTCAAAAATAGAAAATATTACACAACAAAAATATGTATCCTTCCTTTCCCAAAAAGATTCTTCACAAAAAAATGTAGAAAAAATTCCAACAATTTTTTTTTTTCCTTTCCTAAACATTAACTTTCAGTCTAGGGCACAATTGTTTATTGATTTAAATGTCTGTTTTTGCATAAAACATGGAAGATGCAAAACAATTACTGTATTAGGATTGTAAAGTTACATCCACTCCACCCCTACTCTAAAACAAAACAAAACCAGAAAAACCCAGCAAACATTGAACAAATGGTCCAGCCAGTTGGCTAGGAAAACTATCTCTGCCTTTCCACTACTGTGCACATGTACGGGCGAACTGGCTCTGCTGGTACCTGGGACTGCTGGAGAAGCCAGATCAAGAGATTGTTTAGCAATAGCTGATGTCCTACGAGTCATTTACAGTCTCCTGTGTTGCCGATCTATCCGCTGTAAATCCTCACAGAGAAAAGAATCACGTGAGGTAGTACGTGGGCGGAGGACTAAGCTCTATCCCCACATGTATGGTACACATACCTCTGTACAAGCCACTTTCTCAACCATAGTATGTCTTTTTTTTTTCTCTTTCTCAAAATGGAGCTCGAGCGTGGGACACAGGTGACGAGGAGCTGGGTGATATGAGGAAGGCTGGGTGACTTCTTCCATAGTTGCCTCTCCTACATTCACCTGGTTGGGTATTAATTGGAACAATGACAAGATCTCAGACCTCAAAGGAATGCTCTGTTTTCCCTATCCCCATTGGACCTGCGATTTCTTTTATATTTTCAGCAAGGTAGCTTAAATGATGTATTTTTCTTATTTGATGGTATTTCTCTTTTGTGTGGTATTTCTCATTTTGTATGTGTATTCACTGTGTGTATAAATTGATTTTTTTTTTTTTCATAGCTTCCCCACCCCCCCGCTGCTGCTTATTAGATTGCTGGTTTTTTCTTTGTGGTTTGTTTTGTTTTGTTTCTGATTTTTTTAAACAGTGAAATATGTCCAATTTTATTTCCAGTGCATTAAACAAATTTTAAATTAAAAGAAGAAATAAAACTTTCCCCTCATCCTTCTAAAGAAAATGACTGATAAAAGTACAATATAATAAAATCAGGCATTTCCAAAAATAGCATAATGTGCAACCTCAATTATATAAAAAGAAAAATAAACAGACAAATAAGAATTATAGAACATAAGAATGAAGGAGCCAAGACTATATAATCTCAACTATGATATGATTGGCAAGCACTGGTTAGAAAATAGGTAAGGCTACTCTTAGATTTCTAACTCAACATAGTTAACCACTGCTCTTCTGTCTTTTCCTTCAATTCTTAATCTTTAACTCACTAGTTCTTTATATCTTTAAAATGGACAAATTTGTTTTTATATTTTTGGTCTACAGTAGAATTACATATTAATAATATAATAAAATGGTATTTCATGAACAGGTTGGTACTGCATCCATATGGGGGAAATAGAAAAAAAGCACTCAACTAGACATAGCAAATGTACTCTAGCCTTATAAAAATAACCACAAAAATGATAGAAATTATAATCAGGGAAACCAATTAAACTGAAAATATAGAAAGATATATTTTGGATCATGAACTCCTAACAAGCTATGCCCTAGACTTGCAGCCTCCAAACCTTCCCCATGATTTCCACCTTTCCATAGGACCTCTCAAAATTCAAACGGAAATGGAAACAAAAATAAAGTGGACAGGTGGTTGAACCAGCCAGAGCTTCCATGTTATCTTAGCTGACTGGCCAAGACCAGGTGGACAGCATCTGAGAAACTGGTAGGCCACAGGGGAGCAGCTAATGGTACCTGTTTTTAATTTTGGAGGAGTTCCCAGCCCAGTGATAGAGAAACCAAGGAACCAAGTAATTCTTTTGGTAACATAAAATACATGAGATGAAACATAATTCCGGAAGAGAGCACATGGCAGTGAGATGGGAAAGACAAGAGAGAGTTGCAATGGGCTAACTTTGGGTACCACCTCCACCTCCACCTCTAGTTTTCTTCAACACATTGTTTTCTTTCTCTTTCTGAGCATCCTTTAGGATGAGCTACACGCCCAATGTCCTCTGAGCAAATGTCTGTCATCTCAGCTCTCAATATGACACCTATGCTTTCTGGCCTTCCAAAGGGCTAGGTGGCTCTGAAGGATCCCCACCCCCGTAACCCAGGCCTTGAGGAGGCAGAGGAAAGATGCAAAGCTGCAGTGACCATCCCCACCGGATGATAAATGCACACTGAGGTTCCAGTGTAGCAAAAAGAATATGAAGGAAAAGAACTGGTAAGAGTTGAGCTCGGTAATCAACAAGTATGAAGTTTTTCTTTCAGAAAAAAAGGAAGAAGAAAAAGAAATGGCATCAGTCAGAAAATACTGCTTTTGGTTTCTTTGCACTTCAAATCACCCTTGGTTTTTTTTTCTCATTCAGTTGCTCCAGTTTAGAGTTTAGAATCTAGTGCAAATATCATCAAATGACAGCATTCCAGGAGCAATATCCTATCCCTTCATCCCAACTGAACACTATCCATTCAGACCTCCTCCAAAGACTCAAGGAGGGGAGCAATGATCCAGAAAAGTGTAACTGAACAAACTATTGACATGGTACTCACTCGCTGCAACAAGAAAGGCACTATCACAACAGCTCAGCCTAAGCACAGCCCTTGTCATGGGCCTGGACATTTTCAACCACTCTGGCAACCACGGTGAAGCCCAGCCTGTGGCTTTTTCAATACTCTAATTCATTGCCCCTCTATCTGACCCCCATACGCCCCACTGGCCACTGTTGTTGGCTCTGGCCACACAGAGCACTGATCTGCTCTGTGTCCATGTGACCCCACATTTTACCAATGACCCTTGCTTGGTTCTGAAATGATTGAGCTCACTCTCTTCCATGGAAATTTCTTTCTCTCCATCAGTCTCCAGTCATGACTCATATAAAGACTAGTTTACAGTGTCAGGTACTGTTGTTAAGTATTTTCCTATTTCTGAAACCTCTGGCCAAACCCTAAGTCTTAAAGATAGTTCAGCAGCTCCTCTAAGAACAAGTCTGTAAATATCACTGTGAACAGAGCGAAAACCGCAGTGTCATCCCTTGACCACCAAGGCGTATCTCTTGAGCTCCTTGAATTACTTTTGTCTGGGAGAGAGGAAGTCAGGCTCTAGAGATTAAAATCTTTGGTGACAAAACTGCAGTGGGTATGTGAGTGTTAAGGAAGAAGGTGTTTTCCCAAAGCCTCCAGAGAAGTATCCTAGGTCAGTCAATATGAATCTATTTTAAAAGGTCAATTATTTCTTTCTGTCACTTTGGTTTGCTGCAGTCAATGTCCTTTTGGTGACTACCCAGCACACATCTCTAAGTACCTGTAAAGCACTGTGAATTTAGAGATTCTTATTTAAAATAGATATAATGCTTTAAGTGCTTAAGGGTTTGGTTATGTTGGCTCTGAAAGCTCTAAATAGTTTTTTTCTGACTATCAAGGCTGACCGCTTCCTTAAAAATTTTTTAAATTTTGGAATAGTAGACTTGGATGGATCCTAAGGAGGAGAGAGAGATGGGTGTAACTGTGGTAACCTTAGGACAGAGAGTATCCCAAATAATATCCCTATACAGGATAGTGTTCAGAGAAATCCAACATTAGCCATTTAGATGGGTTGTCATCCTTTCTCACTGAACCACAACCTTCACAGCTGTCACTTTGGATCTGGGAAGCCTTCAGCATCTTCAATATTGCCTGTGGTGTGAGATTCTTCTATTAATAGACACTACAGAGCCATAAACTCTAATTCCATCTAATATTAAACAAGGCAATAAAAGAAATTCCAATTAAAAATTGAATACCCCCCTCCCCAAAATAACTTCAAAATGAAACTTTCAGGCACGGTTAAGGTCTTCTGCTTAATAAAGGACATTCTGCGACAGAGCA